CAAGATACACAACGTATTTTGTAGAGCCGAGAGGGGCCCCCCTCCACTGCCAAGGGGGTTCTCAACTTTGGCAGCAAACTACCACCAGCAGGGTGCTGTGGCCTGTTTGTAATGTCATTGATTCCACCGCTTAGCACCCCCTTTGCTGGGCCCCCTGCTGCTGTCTGGAGTTTTAAAAACCTAGTCGTCTGTCTGCTTTATTTATGTTTACCTCGCAGTTTTTCGTAACATTAAAAGTGTAAAAAACAAAATAAAAAATGTTTTCTCAACGAAACTAGCCAAGCAAATAAACATGTTTAGGAGGAGCACCCAGCTAGCTGCAGGAAAGCAACAGTGCTGATGAAAACTTAGTTGGTAAGTTGTTTCATCATTATTTGAGATTACGCTTAGATGCTGTTCTTTTGTTTGTGGGTGCATGTGTTGTAGACCGCCGTGTCTGCTGGTTATCGTACTGTATGAACGGCTGTCACTGTTTACAAAGTTTGTTGTCGTGCGTGGGTTGATAATGTGGGTTGATAATGTGGGTTTTATTGTATTGTCTGTTTGGCTGTGTGGCTGGATGAGCGTCCAACTTCACTGAATGTTAAACTGTAGTTGCCTTCTATCTTTGGTTTCCCGTCCGGCTAATGAAGTCTGCTTTACTTGTTTAATCGGTGGAATATGCGCACAGACATATCAGCCCTTGTTCTGCTTAAACATCAGCAGGTCACTCACTGATAAGTCCCTGTCACTGTAATAGCACCCTTTGTAATCTGCAGCGGCATTTCTCTTTGTCCCGCCCCGTCTTGTATCTCCATACAGCCGATACTAAACCATGCTATACCAATGCTATACTATATTACTATATAGGCTATATAGGCTACAGCATATGCTATATAGCCTATAGACAGTTTAAGGGCCCACTATTGGTCCCCCAATTTTAGGTACTGCTTTTAAAAATGCTCACACACTATACAAAATGACGATATAAAAAAACAATAATTAAACATGTTAAAGGTCACATATCCTCCCCCTCTTCAACCAGTTTCAATAATTCTCAGAGCTCCCCAAAACACCTCTGTGAAGTTTTTTGTTTTAAATCCACTCTGATCCTGTATTTGATCATGCCTATAAACCCCTCTATTTCAGCCCTGCTCAGAACAGGCTGTTTCTGTGTCTGTATCTTTAAATATGTAAATGAGCTGTGTCTGACCACGCCCCCTCTCTGGAAGGGTGTCTCTGTCTTTCTCGCTCCATGTCCTATTGTTTAAGGTGAGAAGGCAGACTCAGAGGGCAGAACAAAAACCTAGCTGTGGGAGTGTCACCCACCTGGGGGAGGGGCTACTGCCCTTTGTGATGTCATGAAGGGAAAATCTCCAAACGGCCTGTTTGAGCACACATTTTCTGAAAAGTGGAGCAGGCAGAAGACGGAGAAGATGGACTTTTCTCATCATTGGGGGGGTTTGCAGACAGACTAGAGACACATGTTAGTGTTAGAAAAAGATGCAAGTTTATGTAATATGAGATTTCTTCTGCTTGAAACTATCCCAAGCTGGACAACAATGAATGCAGGTTTTAAAAACATACACTCCTTTTATAAAACTTGTTCTTGAGGATGAGGAGGAACCTGTGCCATCTCAGTGTAAAGGTAAAAGGGTGTTCTCTCTCCGTCTGGATTCTCATCAAAGAAACCTCGCCTGTTGCATGGTATCTCCCTGTTTAGACTCCCAGCTGTGCAGCTTTGTCAGAGCTGCTCCACCAAGGTTCAGGAATTGGCCTCCAGAGGATCAAGGCTCTTTTGCCTCATCCCTTTTCTTGGCAGCAGATGAAGAGATTTATCTGCCCACCCTGCTTTACCTAAATTGCTGTGTTAGAGGTATATCAACGAGGGATTTCTCACAGTAAAACCTTCAAATCCTGTCTCATTGTGAGTCTGCCAGCGCCTTGCTGTGCAAGACTGGTATTTCTTTTCAGCTCGACTTCATGTCCCCCCTGTCAATTCTCCACCTTGACTTAAGTCATTTATTTCTGCTTTGTCCCTTCACATTTCTCTTTTATTCTTCCTACACCTTCCAGTCCTTCTCTTTAACATTCAGCCTTGTCCTCCTACCGTCCTCCCTCCCTCACCTCGCATTGAGAAGCTTGTGCCCTCGGCCTGGAAGTAAAGCCTGTTGCATCCCGCCTATGTGTGCCCATTCTCTGATTATATTTCCCTGCAGCGCAAATCCAAGAGGCAGGCTGTAAGAAATCCCCGGTCCTCACACAGGTGACTCTTGCTGTCAGCTCCCGTGGCATTTGCTGGATGAGATTTGAAGAACACTCTGCCATTTTCAATTACACTCAACCCCTCTGATAGGGGTTTTTATACTGAGAAGACTTCTGGGATGTCTCTTGGTATGCTATGCACACAGATCACACGTACTTTAAGTCCTGCAGGAATCTTTTAAATGATTGATGAGACGCCCTTTCCCCTTTGTTGTACATTTTATTATTAGATGATTAGAATGTAATCTTTACTCATTCAAAATGTTTGTTTCAGATCGATTTACATAAATGGAGAAGAGATCTTCTTGTCAGTCTCACAGTCTGTGGAAGCCTGCATGTCACACCAAAAAATGAGCTGCTCTTCTTTACTATTCATACTTATACCTGCATTCAAGTATATTTTACTGGTGTCTGTAAATCCAGTTTAATTATGAGCCAATTTGGAGAAGTACCTGAGGCGGAGGGAGGCTGATGTGCCTGGTTCTGCACTGCCGACAGATTGATCGTTTTCATTGTTAGACACTCCAGCCCATTCCAAAGTCTTCAAATGAGATGCAATTGAAGTGCTCAGATTTACTGCTCTTGCTTTCACACATGTTGAAAGGCAGCTGGAGTAGAAGAAAGACCAGGAATTATTTAAACTGGTGAGTGCTGGAGGGGGGTGGGGGGATCAGAGTTGGCACACAATGGTGTTCAAGGGGAGATGGATCTGTATATGAAATACAGTGTTTGCACATAAAGGACAGTGGACCAGAGTCTGAGTCAGGCATCAAATGAAAAGCACGTTTTGAGGTATGATTTAAGACGAGATGCGTTTTTAAAAACTTGTCAAGCTGATTGTTTTGCTGTCACAAAGTGCTATTGGTGATTTTTTGTATCTCTCTGTTAAAGTATGCATGGAGGTAGTTATAAATTGGACAACAGGTGCATATTTGAAACAAAAAGGGGGACGATGAGGAAAAAAAATCAACACAATGAGGGGTCTCGTTCATACCAAAACAAAATGACCACTGCCCTTTGGAATGCTTTGCACGTCCCTGATTGGAGGATATTTGTCCCTTTCTCTGTGCAGCACTTTCGTTACTTTGTACTGTTAAGCTGTGATCCATCGAGAACTTGATACGACTCGTGCTCTGATTTATTCATATTCAGTCGTCTGGGGTACCTGTCCTGCCGCCAGACTACTGTCAGGAGTTGTAGCTGGTGTACGGGTTCAGGCTGTAAAAGAATTGCCTTTTGCTTCATGATTTAGTCTCTCTGCGGCGCCCCCAGATGGGCCCTTTCCTTTCGCCGTCAGTTTCCATAAAGCAGACAATCAGCCAGGCTCTCCGGACACTGATGCAGCCTCCGCACGGACGAGTCTAAATCCAGCGTGGAGCCGTGCCGCTGATACTCTGCAGCCTTGGGGATACATTAAGATCCTCTGGCTTTTCATCTCAAATACAGACACATATAATCTGTGCTTCTTGAACACCATTATTTCAAGTTAAGGGACGCACAGAGCATGTGGGGTATGACTTTGATAAGAACAAATGTTAACCCCTGCAGTGTGTGTTTTACCTTCTATGCTCTATTTTCTATTCACTCGTTAATTAAAGACATAAAGACATTAAAGGCATTTCACAAACTGATTAACTTGTAATACTCTGATTTTAAAACATCCCTCTAAGCAGCAGATATGATTCATGCACGGCTAACAATCTGACACAGGGAGGATGTTTTATTCCAAAGACGCAGTGCCCGACAGATTTAGCCGCCTGCTGCCCCTTCTCTGTTATCTGCCTTCTGGTAATTGCTCATTAGGAGGAAAATGTGGTTTTAATTGTCTGACAGTCGAGACAGTCTGAAGTTCATTAGGGCTAATGTCCAAACTTCACACAGGCCGTCTAGACACAAACGGCAACGCTTGGCCAATTATGAATTCATCCAATAATAGCCTTTATCAAATGTTGTTTATTTTCTCGATGCATGGACATGACGTGTGTTTGATCCCAGCGTAACAACACGATAAATGAATGGAACATAATTGGGTTGCTCCCACCTTATTGCACATAATAATTGCTCCTCATGAGACCTTTTTTTTTACTCAAACAATCCACTGACCAGTTGTATGAACACTTGAGCACCGATTATAACGAGGAGGTCTTTAACCCAATGAGGCTACTTTTATTGTAATTTCACATCTTGGATTGCTATGAGACTTATTTAAACTGAGTTGAAAAGGAGGAGAATATGTGACCTTTAACAAAACATCAGGAGAGGACTTTGTCAGATAATCAGCTCCCTTGCAGACTCAATTTCCAAGTTTTTTCCTCATGAATTTAGATTAAGAGTATCAAAGAATATTCATTTTTTAAACTCCATTTTAAATTCCGATGTTGTAAATTGTAGTACAAGTACAAATCTCTCACTTTTTCATTGTGTGTAAAAAAAACCTGATGCAAAAGTCATTTTTCCATTTTGTCTAATAGGATACATTTACATGGAATCCCTTAATAGTGCCGTGTATTTCAGTTTAAGAGCGGTGTAATTGCTTTAATGACGCAGTTATTGACTTTGCTGCGAGCCGAACTGGATCTAATGAAAATAGATGGGTCGAATTGATTTTTCAACCCGAGCTTTTTTGATATCTGTGCTGCAGGTGTCAACATGGAATAAACCATCAGACTCATCAACAGAATGAAATAAGCTCTTCTTCTTCTTTTCTTCTTCCTCATGCTTCCCCTTCGGCATCCTCGTCTCCTCTCTCCTCCCAGTGGTCGTGTTGTATTTACAGGCTGTGGGAACCAAAGAATGGAGGGAGGTAAGTTAAAGCACCTTTTTTCTAAATCAAATCTCAAACTTACACCAGAGTTTATCTTTTACATGACGTGCTAGTTTCTTCAGTCAGGAGCGAAAATGGATTTATAAGGATGAAGTTTGGAGGTAACTGTCTGCAAACCAAGAGAACATTTTGCACCAGAACAGTGCAAAGAATAAATAAATAAAGTTCTTAATATATCAGGTTTCTATTGGCAGGAGAGAAAAAAATCACTTAATGGAAAATGGTCTGGGTGAGATTACTTTTTCACTCATATTAAATATGCACCGTCTGCTCCCCTCGCCGTCTTGCTGTCTCACCCTCTGTCACTCTTTTTTTAAGGAGGGGATCACATGACCCTCTATTCATTACTGTCATTTTAAATTCCTCCTCCTCCTCTTCAGGTTTTTTAGTTTCAGTCTCCTTGCCACACCGACACATTCTGCTGTAATCTCGTATTCCTTGTTTTACCTCATCTAATTTGCCCGTGACATTCTGTTCCCTGTCTTGCGTATTCACAAATGCAAAGTCAACATTAATGTGACACTCAGGGCTTTGCCAAACACTGATCCCTTCTCTCCAAGACGCCTCACACCTTCTCATTCCATGTGGCAGGGCTTAATCAAAAACGCTGCATGAAGTGCTCGAGTAAACATCTCGCTGTCAGCCGAACACATATTGACATCGGGAGCGACATGTGGGCTTGAATGTAAACCTGAATAAATGCTTTGTTGGCTTTTGACATAATCTTTGACTTTTTTTTATGAATTATAGATAAAGATATTAAAGTTAATGGTCGTGCCTGGAAGGACGAGTCGTGCATTTTCATTCATTATTAAAGCATTCTGTGCAATTAGCATCTATGTCGACCTGTTGCTCTGTTATCTGCATATCAATTTAACTTGCATGAACATAATGAATGCAAACCACACACAACTGTGCACATAAGAATGGTACAACTTTAAAGGTAAAAAATTAAATACAGACTTATACATGAGGAATACTGCTTAATCATCCCTTCTCCGTACATGTGTGGTGGTGACTGTGTCTGCAGACACCCTGTCCTCTACCTGGATTTTCATGTTCTGGTTTGTTTTTGTTGACTCGGGACGTTTCTGGGCGGGGAGCTGGTGTGTTTTTCCGCCATGAAAATGACAGTGCGCAGGTGATTTAAGGAGCGGATACAATTCAGCGATTGGACGTGATTTGAACGGGCAAATATGACGAACATGGACGTAGCTGAAAAGACGAGAAAATGTAATCATAGTGAGGAGAAAAGCAGAGCGGATAAAGCTCGTTCTAAAACGAGGGTGAACATTTGGTTGGCTTTTACATGCGGACGTGGAGTTGGTCTACTTCCTGTTGGACAGGAAGGTGCCAAACACTTGCGGTTAGCTTGTGCTAGCATGCGGTTAGCTTGTGCTAGCATGCGGTAGCTTGCAGTGAAGAAAGCAGGAAACGTACACACTACGCCCTGCAGTGAGTGTACGCTTCTGGGGGTGATGGACCCAGTTTGCATTTTCAAAAATTGCTACTGACTATCCCTTTAAGCTTGAATCCCTCTTTTGGGTTAGACTTTTGTAAGCACTGGAATGCCAACTCTTAATAAATGTTTAATCTTATTTATTTATTCCAGTAAATGCTTTTCTGCTCTGTTGATTCTAGGACAACAACAAAAAAACATCTCGCCTCTAACAAAGCAATTCCTTAACCTTCACCCACAAATGCTCACACACTTATTAACCTATCACCCCGAAGTGAGGTTTTTAAACCCAAGGCCTCCAAGTCCCAAAAATAGAAACACTACAAGGAAATATCATGGGATTTTTCCCTTCAGATCGATACGACAGGTAGCTTCTGAGGACCACCAGTCTGCCCTGCGAGGACGTGGTAATGGATAGGCTAGGGGCTCGGTTGATAGCGCGGATTATGTGCACCGGGCACTAAAGACACGAGTAGAGGTATTGAGGCTGAGGTGAGGCAGTGCCAAGATCAATAGCTCATTACACGGTGCTCTTGGGCCGGGCCCCGGAGGTGAGGCTGGCTGTCCAATCTAGGGGATTACTGAAGTGATTGTCAGGGAGATGGAGAGACGGCCTGGCCCAGGTGGGAGGGTGGGACTGGGACTCTGTGGGGCTCACAGTGGTAGAGGGCTGGCTCTAATGTAGCGATATGATTTCTCTGGGGACACAGCTTAAGCACCAACATGATGACGCTCAGTTTGATTCAGAGATATGCAGATATATGAGTATTTATAGATTCTAATCTTGTATCAAATGTGGGCATCTTAATATTAACTTCTGCTGGATCTCGTTTCTTTTGCTTGGATTGTTTTCTTCATGATTTGACTCCCGAGATATATCGACCCTAAAGAATGTTTGCCTCTTTTACCACCAGTCATATCTTTCTTGTGTTTATAGTTTGGCAGAACGGAGGTAATCGATAACACGCGGAATCCAGATTTTGTCAGGAAATTCGTCCTGGATTTCTTCTTTGAAGAGAAACAGAATCTAAGGTTTGATGTGTGAGTATGCTGCTGGTATTTCTTTTCACTTTGTCTAAAAAAAAAACCCTGAATTATTTGAATTCTGACCATGGATATGTTAAGCTGGAAACACCACGATGTGAATTCAGAGCAACCAAGCCAATGTTGCTTTGTTGTTTCTCCCCGCTCTCTTTGGGTTCTTGGTAAAAAACGATTATTTCGCTCAATTAGGATTAATGAACAGGTCAATCGCCAATGGAATTGGATGTCCAATCACGGCAGGAGATTTAAAAAAAATGGACCCTCTCCAGGCCAAGTTGAGAGCCCCGCTGATTGAATTAGTGTCTGTTTACCCACTTGGTTATTCTGCTCAGCTCACCTAGCTGCTCTCCTTGATCAATGCAGAGGAAGATCCCTTACATGCCTCGGTAGCTTTAATCAAGGCACAGAAATGTGCTATTATTACTCAATGGAGTGTGTAGGACAGTTGCTCGTATATAATGTGAACACAAAAATGGAACAAAAACAATGTTTGTGATGATGCCTTTATGTTGCCGTTATGCATAATTTCACCTCAAAGCGTTCCCTTCTACTCTGCAAGGTCATTTTCTACGCTCAATCCACAAATAATAAGCTTATTGTGAAACAGGCCACATACTTCAGGAGTCAGAGGTTGGAGGTATCTCATAACAGATAACACAAAGGCAACAACACTTTCAGATATGATTTCTTTTTTTTTAGCTTTCCAGATGGATTTTCCACCAATTTACAACCTTTCTTTCCGATTCAGTTACATAGTTTGGAAATGCCTTCAGCTGCCAGTGAGCTATTTTTCTCTGAGTGCTTCAGCTCCGACCAGCTGTAGAGTCCCTTGTTTATGAAGCCACCAGCACCATTATTTGACAAAGATAGCCTCTAGGATCCAGCGGCTATTTTTTGCTTGCATTTCTAGCCTCCAACTCGGCGGATATTCTAAACCACTTCACTTTCCAACAGTGAAAAAACAGCATCCCAATATATGAGTGCAAAGACTTTTATGGACAGGGATACAGTTTACAGCGTACATCTTGGCAAATGCAAAGATATCAAACCTAAACGGCTAAGTGGTATTTGTGAAAGGCCGCAAATGAGCTAGTTAACCATCTTATTTCCCAGAGAATTGGGTTGTATTTGTGGAAGCTGACTGAAGCTGTTTAATTAACACAACCTGCTTGCTGAATGCCACTGACTCACTGCTTGCTCATCCATTTCCCATGAAGATAAGAAGCAGGTGAATTAAACTAGCAGGGTAACTTAAAACTTAAAGTTAGCAGTGTTTTCATCTCCACAGCCAGCTGTATTCTTTATCAGGGAAAATCCAACAACCATCCTGACCAGCATCTCTTGGCCACCTCAATAAATCACTGTAACTAGCCCTCATAGGTATGTTGGAAGACACCCTTAGCTACTAATGGTTGGTATCTTTTCATTAAAACCAATACACAGATTTAACTCTTAGATATTCACCTCGTACTCAGACCTCAGCGATGAATTATTTGTTTGATATTTGCGAGAAAAGATCGCCAAAAGGCAAAACATCAGACACATGATCAAGAGGTTAAATTCAGGGATTGAATTAGCCAAAGGGGGAACCTATCAGATCCCTTAAAGTGACCAAGAATGCTAAACTTCAAGGTTCAAAAAAATCACAGTCCAGATGTTATGTATGGGGAAATAAGATAAGGAGTCCAAAAAGCCTTCAGGCTGTGAACATGTTTATTTTTGCCATACGTAAGTATTTTAACACAGGGACTAATGAGGATTGACTTGCTCTTGGAGAAAGCCTCAAGTGGCCGTTTGAGGAACTGCATTTCTTATCGTGCGCCTCAGAGTCTGCTTGGATTGTCAGGTTTCCGCTCGGACAGTCATTGCTGAGAGCTTAACACCTGTGAAGGTGTCCTTAATGTGTCATATTCAGAGGATATTGAGGTGGGGGGATATTGGACTCTAGGAAAATCTCTCCCCCCCTTTGGATTCATAACTGCGGTATATTTCCTACATTTCAAATGACTTTCCCTTGGGGTATGTTACGGCCTCCTTAACCAAAATGAAATCAACCAAAGCTGAAGACATGGAGATCGAAAAAATATAAGGAGGTGACACAGATTAAAAAATTAACCCTGAGTTTTGTTTGATTTAAATATTCCCCCCTAAAGTAATCAAAGACAAACACAGGGGAGTACATTTTCCAACAATCGTGCATGTGGAAGTGAACATCTCCATGGTTACAGAATGTTTTGCCTTTACGGTGATGCCACCAGTTCCTCCAATCTTATCACATAGTTCTTCCTCACAGGTACAATGTGGACTCCAGGAGCTGTAACATCTCCAAACACGTAAGTACAGTATGTCAAACACACAATGACAGCTTTGACTCAGCGCTGACGACTTCCATCGGTCCTCCAATGTGACACATATATTTATCGTTAGTCATGCTGCTAAAGCTCATTTACAGTGAATGAGTGAAGACGCTGATGGTGCATTCAGTCTATTATTTAGCCCAGTCTATTAGCACTCTGTGAATTCCCTTTAATGGCAGTCTTTTCTCTCTTTTTTTCTTTCTTTCTAAAATCAACTCATGTGGAGAGCAGAAGGTGAGTGCTGTGTATGCAGATTGTATTATCCTCATGTCCTGCTATTAAAAAGTCCTCCATTCATTCCACGTTTAATTTTCCAGAATATTTCACGGCCTCCTGAAGAGATTTTATTTCATGTGTGTGTTTCATCCGCTTTAATTTGATTGTGTTTTTTTTTTTTTTTCTCTCATCTCATTTCATCAAGGACAAACACCTCCAGCTCCCCGCCTGCGGAAAGCTTCTCCTGTAATGTTGCTCCTCATTTTGTCTGTCTGCATTTCATCCCTCGCTCAGGTAAAGCCATTCTCACAACTTCAAGGTGCAGACAGATGTTGTTGTTGTTTGAAACGGTGTAGTACAGCAGATTGTGCATGTCAGGACATTTAAAGGAGTTACACACACACACACACACACAGTTTATGAGGACTCACACCTACACCTGCTCCCACTCGCACACAACAAATATGTACACATAGTGCTCTGCCCTACGGTGGCTTACAAATGACAATTTGGAACAATTTTGCAAAGCTTGAGACACATTTACATTTTGGTAAATATTTTTAGAAAACAAAACACTTTTACCAAGGACAAAGCAAATTTACATTTTCAAGCCCTGACACACCAAGGAGATCGCCGCCCTAGTTTTTGCGGTGTGTCCAGCTCCGTCCCTACCCGTCGCCCCCCATCTGACTTTCGGTGAGAGGAATCTCTCTGATTGGCTGTTCGGATAACTCCAGCTCTCGACACATGTTCAGGAAAGCCCCTTGAGCATGCCGCTGTAGTATCCATGCTTTCAATTATTGCGGTTTCTCCTTATTTGTCTCTTCTGCCTCTTCTTTTCTTTTTCCACTAAAAGACCAAGGGCTGACAACGCCAGCGCCATTTTCAACTTTTTATCAGACATTATTCTCCATTAGTAGACTGCCTATAATACAGGTGGTGAGCGACAGCGGTGTGAAAATGGTCTTCTCGTATCATAAACAACGGACTACCGCCCCCTGCTGGCATGAAGAGTTATTTCCTCTAACGCATGCGCAGAACGTACGTGGTGGTTGGCCATCAGCTGTAGTCGGCGACAGGAAAAACGGCGACATTAGGCGACACCACAGTCCGTCTTCATTGCCACTAGTTCTTTGTCGCCTGCTTGGTGTGTCAGGGTCTTAAGAAAACAAATGGCGTAAAGACGGTAAGAAATGTGTTCTATGGAGTTTATGGTGATTGAATGATGTTTTGTCCATTTTGTGGAATCCACCTGAGACAGTTAACACACAGTCTTTCTGTCAAAACAAATGAATTGATGGCTCACCCAACAACTTCTCAGTCACTTCCAGCATTTGGTAAATTCCCTTTTCGGCGAGATTCTGTGGTTTGTAAATTTCTCTCTGCACTGGTCAGAGTGTTTCACATCTTGTCCATTTGTTTACATTTTTAAATTTAAATTTGTCTTAAGCTTTGAAAAAGCATTTCACACTGCATTTTGGTTTGCACTTCCCAGCCACCGTACCTTCCCTCGTTGCTGTGCAGAAATGTTTATTGTGTCATTTCATCGCTCCGCTTTTTATCTTCCGTATGTTTCTCTCTGTAGAGCGGGGACTTTTTGCAAACTTTCAAATCTATTGTTCAATGAAAATGCTGCTTTAATGAGAGCATGTACTTTAATCCCGGTGTGTTTCTTTTAAAGATTAGACGGTAAATCAGTAAAACTTCCCCCGGGTCACCAGTTCTGGGACTTGACCTACTTAAGTTCATGCATGCTCGTAAGAAATAAAGTGGGAATTAAACCCTAAATTCCAAGTTTAATTTTAAATGACACTTCAATATCAAGAGAATGAAGTTTAATGGCAGTGTAATAACCTTAATATCTCTCCTTCTATCCTTTTTGATTTGATAGTCTTTCATAATTGCTATTGAGTCTTAAATGTTGATTAAAGAACAGGAGGTCCAGACGTCTGTGGAGTATTGAGGGTTCATATCATTTAATGGGCAGGTTCCCCACCTCATACCTATGAACTAATAGCTTAAAAAAGTGGGGACAAAAACCCCACATGAATCCACCAATGAAGAACATGGCGGCTAAGGCTGAGTTCTTTAGGTGACCTCCAGGTTTATGTCCTTTTTTATGTAAAAAATACATCTGCATCATCAGTCTGCAACAGTTCAGCATGAAAACTCTGTCCAGAGAACCAGACGGGGGTCATTTTAAAGGACTGATACCCTCATCATTTGTCTCATGGAGACCGCTGAAACTTCATATTAGCTTCTGAAAATCATCAGATTACATTATTATTTCATTGGAAGGAATGCAGGTTTTGTCCTTCATCACAAACATTTGAAAAGGAGGAGATACTCTGAGGACCAGAATAAACAAGATGAGAGATGTCTACAGCCAGGTACACACTCAAAGATTTTTAACATATTTGAAATTGCGAGGGAGCCCGCACATGACGACCAATAGGAGACCAATAATGACAGATTGAACAGACTTGTTTTGATAGTTTGACTGACTCAGGAAACCACACACTATTCATATCCCAACATCCAGAGTCTCCACGCTTAAAACCCCCAATCTTTAAGAGTAAACAAACATGGCCGACATCCTGTCCTTGTCAGTTTGGTTGTGGTTTGTTTTATACAACATGATGTAGAAACACTCTCAATAAATCCACCATTTTTGTTATCCATCAAACTCACAGGTTTCTTGAGTTCGCTTCTTGTTTGCTGTCGTAACCGTGGTCGTGTTTGTTGCACTTCCTGTTTCAGTCATCTTGCTTCCTGATTGCCAATTGTTTAGTTCCTCTCGGCTGTCCTCGGCGTTCTCCTCACACAACAGGGTTTCTATATTACAAACGATTTCATATCGGGGGCGGCCCCCAATCGTCTTCCGAGCAGATCAGGGGCGGGTAGAATCAATTTTAACACACCTCACACCACAGGAACATCTGGCAACATCATCTTTGGAACCATAAGATGATCCGGCCTTTGCTGACTTTGGGTTGGGCCTAAAATCATCCCAATTATCTTGTAGTGTGAACCCTGCTTCACCTGCTTCATTGTACATAAATGTTGGTGGATATAGTTTTAAAGGAGGACTAAAGAAAATTTGAATCAATCCTTATAGTTATCTACAGATTAGTACTTTGAGAGTCCTGTTTGAAACCTGTCATGCAATTATTCCTCTCTTCTATCCATTTTTCTCCCAAAGGACTTCCTGGGACAGACCTTCTGCACCCTCGGAGAAATCATCGGCTCTCCAGGAGGACGTCTGGAGAAAACCCTCTCGTGAGTGTCTTTCCAACATCCTTTACATCCTGCTTCTCGTAACACAGAGATGTTGTGTCTCTCTTCATTTGTTCAGGGGGTTGAGTCATTAAAAGACAGAATTTATGCACATGAATAATTCTTGAGAAGTGAGAAAAGAGATGAATCCTCGTCTTGTCTCTCGTTCCATATTTATTGATGGCTGCTGTGGACGACAGCGTTTCATGAGCCGTCTCACTAATGTAATGTGTACAGACTCACCAAGTTTAAATAGCCTCATCTATTACAGTGCTAGTTCAGAGTGTGAGAGGCGAGATGAGCTGGCTGCATCACTGCACACTGAGCTGTTGTTGTTGAAGTTTTACAGTTGAGTGTTACACAAAAGGAGCTGAAGCATGCAGACGTTATTTTGTTGGGTAGCAGTAAATACGTCTTTGGATATTGACCGTTTTTTTTCTCTCTCGCTTGGTTTTATTGCTCGTAGATGTTTTGTTCACAAGGTAAAAAGGAGAATGTGGTGCATTCATCGAAATAAAAAAAACCACACAATACCCCCTGATGTATCTGTAGCGTTAGGTAACACATTTTATTCTAAGGAGTGAAAGGAATGCTGGGAGATAAAAAGAAAGATCTCAAAGTTTGATTTAAATCTGCTTTTTTCTGCCAGGATGACCTTTCTGGAAAAGTCTGTACAATAGTCAGAAAGTGATTTTTTTTACCAGAATCCCACTGTGACATCACAAGGAGAGCACATTTGAAACAGGATTTTTCTCTGTGTTGTAAGACTTATGCAGACCACAAACAAAGGACTGGATGGGTTTATTTCACACTCTGTGGGTCAGTAGACACTCAGGTTACCCAAATAAATGTTCAAAAACACTGCAGAAGTGGATTTTTCATAATATGTCCCCTTTAAAAGAAATTAAATGTGATGGTAGACATAGTCATTAAACTTAACACCTAACTCACAGGACATCATTCGGGGAGACATCCAAGCCACAGTTCAGCCATCTTTTTATTTCTGCAGACACACACACACACACACATAAATGTTGGCAAAAAAAGATGAGACTTATAGATTTATGTCCCCGTTTTTTAATTAGAAGGCCTCTTTAAGACGGGGGACAATTACTCACACTCATCAGAAATGTGCCATAAGCTCCATGTGATTAATCATGTCTCCACTGTAATGAGGCTCACCTTGAGGGAGAGAAATGAGGAAAGCGACATGAGTGAAAGGTTACATACAATAAGACATAAGAGCCTCTGTCAGAGGATATTGAGGTGGGGGGATATTGGACTGTAGGAACATCTCTCCCCCTCTTTGGATTCATAACTGCGGTATATTTCCTACATTTCAAATGACTTTCCCTTGGGGTATGTTACGGCCTCCTTAACCAAAATTAAATCAACCAAAGCACAAGACATGGAGCGTCTTAATGATTCATGGAGGACAAGGCAGCGTAAAGACACCTGCATTAAAAAGTATGAAGGTCTAAAGTCATGTTTCACCTCTTAAGTCCTGTACTTGACTTCACAAGTCTGCTGCTCTCTTAGCTGGTGTTTTATTGCAGATATCATTTGCGGATCTGACTCGTAATGACGTCTCGAGGAGACAGCAAAGAGGTCTGAAGTCTGTGACTTTGCCAGCCCATCTGCCTGCTGATTTGAGAAATAGCCATAAAAATATGACTGTAAACCTGAACACCTGTACTCTTTTTTCAAAACAATTCTTTTTCTTATTTTTTTTAATTCATTTTTGAACCTGAGACGCCCGCTTGGAGGACCATGGCCTCCATACATGGGGCGCGAGCACTAACCACTGCGCCACCAGCGCCCCAAAACTATTTATCTTTATTGGAAGAGTTTGTGGTCTTGGCATGAATAATGTTTCCCAGCAACCTTTGGTGTAAGTGAAGCACTTTGTAACTGGTTTGTAATTATTTTCCGACTGAAAGCTCAACATTTTTCACCCTGACAGCCGCTGCTTGTCTTTCTTCTGAATCTAGAACTAAACATTAAATCTTATTTAGACCTAAGTAAGAGCTGGTTCTTAACATTAACCAAATCTTTTAGGTGCCTAAGCCTACTAAAAAGTTTCAGAGGTTATAACAATCATAATTTAAAGTCTGTCAGCCTAGGGCGCCAATCGTGATGTGGTCAAAGTCCAGAATTAAAATCCTATTCATTGCTATTTTGTCTCTTTGGTAAGCCAGCCCTCGCTGCACCTTTCAATGGTTCATTTCCAGAGTACTTATTTTCCAGTCTCCATAGGGTATACCAACTAAATCACCTCTAATTCACACCATTGATTGACTCACTATGTTCAGTAGTATGCTCTCTCTCATTTGCAGGTACACACAGACTAAATATATAGGAGTCTTACTGTACATGTTACTGTTTATAACAGGGGCCATTTATCCTCTGCTGGAAAGGACACTTAAAGAAAAACATTTGGGGTAAAAATTAAGAGTATACACACTTCTTCAGGCAGCACTACACTGAGGTTAATCTCACTTTGTAAGAAAAAACTCAGTTGAAGAGTCAAAACTAATATGCACCATGTAACAAGAAAATTATCACTTTTTTACCATCGTCTAGCTGTTTTCATTTTCTTATAAATCCCTATATTAAGTTCTGTTTCTCATAAACTCCTATCTACCAAAAGTTCCTGAATTTATTTCAAAATAAAAGCAGCTTTATATTCAAATAGTAAATACATTTCCCTTAGCTTAAGTCAGTCGCAAAAATGCAAAATAAAAGCAAAGCAAAAAATGTTTTGAAATGCAAAATAACGGATATTCAGACATGCAACAAAAAACATTAAATCAATTTCTATAAAGTATTGAAATTTAAAGATTATTGATACATTTAAAACAATCGTTTGACAGTCCTATTTTATTTTGTATAAATTGCAGAGCTTTTAAACAATACCTGCATTCCAGCAAAAGCAAGGAAACTCGAATACACCACAACACATTCTGTTTCATGGTTGTTCTGTTCCTGAAAAAAATTAAATATTAAACTGAAGCTGACATTTTATTTCCCATAATCCCAACATAATGCTTTTTTTTTCACTGTGTTTCAATTGTTCTCTGCCACTCCTAAAAAAAAAATCCTAAAATACCTGAGACAAAAATACCCGGTGGCCTCGATTCCCTTAAAAGACAAGATTTGAAACACAGCGAAAAGGATGCAGCAAAGACGCACCACTGTCACATTATTCCCTAATGATCCATGCATACACCTCGTGTCCGCAGCTTTGTAACTAAAATACCTGACTCCCCTCCTCCCCGGGCCGAGCTGTTTTGCTTTTTCACAACTTGAGAGAAGCAGAATAAAGGAAACGCAGAGTTGAGCGATGCCAGAAGTGTAAGGGAGAAGGCTGCAAATGAAAAAGGAAACTACACAATAAAAGACCAGCAGAGCACGATCACTATACCTCCCTTATGGTCAGTGTCTCTGATGGCTGCCTGCAGGGAATAGACAGCTGTCTGGAGCCGCTGTTAGATCAGACGCAGTGAAGCCCAGGGGGGAAACACGGGGGGGGGGGGGGGGGGAGCGAGGTAAAAGAGAGACAGAGAGTGAAAGAGAGGTATGTGAAGGGTAACAAGAAGGAGGATGGGGACGGGGGGGAAAGGGAAGGTAACTCATCAGAGTAAAGACAAAGTGTGATGGAAAAAAGAAGAGAAGAGAAGAAAGGAGAGGATGATGAAGTTTGGGTGAGGGAGTCGGTGCAGCAGAAAAAAGAAAGAAAGATGGATGCAAAGACAAGGACAAGTTTCCTGAGAGAGACAGATTTGTGTTTACTTTCCGAACAACACCGTCCCTTCTTCATGTTCCGTCATTTAGAGGAATCTATGCACTGGTGGAGTGAGCACACACACACACACACACACACACACACACACACACACACACACACACACACACACACACACACACACACAACTAAAAGAGCTTAGACAAAGACATCACAGAGACCCTCTATATATAAAACTTGTGTTATCGATTTTTTTCTCATTCCCTGCCATCAAACACACACACACACACACACACACACACACACACACACACACACACTCTCTCTCACACTCACACACAGAAGAGTCCAAAACGTATACATGGCTGTGGTAGCCTCCACATGTCGGTGGGTGTATGTTTTTATAGGTCAATACTTTTAGAAACGGGCTTCATGCAGCCTGGCAAACCAAGCACTCCTTTCCACTTACCTGTGTGTTGCTATGGTAACCGAGAGGGGGGGGGGAGGTGGCTATTAGCCGAGGCGGTTAAGGTATAACAACGATCCAAAATGGATCATTTGAAGAAAAAAAAATCTAAATGGGGGAGCCCAGAGGCGTGCATTATGTGGATACTCATGGAGTACTTACTGGAGGTATTTTTAAACTAAACTGACGATTTTATTTCCAGAGAAAACTTTGATGCACTTATTCTCAAATATAAAAAAGTACAAATTGAACTTACCAGAAGTAACTCAGTCTGAGTATTAACTTTCCCACATCATCACTTCCTGTTTGACAGGCAGGCAGAAAGCAGACAGATCCCCTCATTTTGTTGGTTAATCTGAAGAAATGAGGCTGATCTGTGCACAATCCCACACGCTGCCAGTCGCCCAGATGTAGATTGATGAGCTAGAGCGCGGTCTACACAAGCTGCCCGCGTGCACCGCTATGTTTGCCGGGTGTATGACGGCACACCAGTCTGTGTGTCATTAAATTATACCTGTCTTGGATTTGGCTGCGAGGCATCGGTCACACTGTCGGAGCAGAGGGGTGTAAAGTTGGTTGATGATGTCATAGAGGCAAAGAGCAACACACAAGTAACAGATGAGAGAGGTGGGAAACAGCTTCAGACTGCAGACGGTGTTTGAGTCTGTTTCTGTTACTGAGCTGCTGATTGGACGATGCGTCTGCAGATGTTGGGGGTTCGTGCCTTGCTTATGGGCACCTATAAAAACTACATCCGTTATGTCGTCAATGTGAGATGAAGACATGTTGAAA